AGTTTTCTTGTCGTACGTTTTTCTATTTAAAATAAAGATCATACAAAGTAAAGACAAAGAGAGTGCCCCACTATTAGTTTTCAGAATAAAAATATTTTTATGAACATGTGTAACCACTAAAATGATCGAAGAAAAAAGCCGAACTACAATGACGGCACATGATTAGCAAAGCGTGGAATGATATAATAACGCAACAATAGTATACATACTCTAATCAAGAGATAAATATTATAAAATATAAATTAAATGTTCAAAGGAATCTGTTATAATTTACAGGATATAAAGTACGTATACTTTACCGGCGATGTGATAGATCATGGAGTATGGGAAACTTCAAGAGAAGGAAATACAAAAAGTCTTATAGAAATTTATAATAAAATTCATGAAATGTTTGGAAAAGTTCCAGTATATCCAATACTTGGAAATCATGAACCAAATCCTTTGAACCAGTAAGTTTACTGATGTATATATTTAGAATAATCCAATAGAAATATCTATTATTCTATACAAAACACATTAATTATGTTGCGGTTTTTGTAGATTTGCACCAAAAAACATAACATTAAATAATATAACCACAAATTGGTTGTATAAATTAATAGCGGATTTATGGATTGGTTACGGTTGGTTACCAGAATCGACACGTTCTACAATACTACAAGGAGGATATTATACTGTTTCTCCAACAAAGGGATTCAGAATAATAGCTTTAAATTCCAATGTTTGCTACTGCTATAATTGGTATGTTAAAGATTTCATCTCTTTAAATTAATTTTGTAAATGTTCAATGAACATTTTATTCCAGTAATTGATAGATTTTGTTTTTCCTTCAGGTATTTTATTTATTATAGTTTTAGTATGAAAAAGTATACCAAACAATTGCATAATTTACCGAAATATTTTCTACTTATAGGTGGCTGTGGTACACCCCAAGGGATCCAGACAATCAATTACAATGGCTTTCAGATACACTTCTTAATGCAGAAAAAAATCAAGAATTTGTACACATTTTGTCTCATATTCCTGCTAATAGCAACTCATGTTTAAAAACATGGGAACGAGAATATCTAAAGATAATTAATAGATTTTCTCATTTAATTAAAGCAGAATTCAATGGGCATACCCATAATGATGAAATGACAATAATTTACAATTCAAGTCCTTTACCACAAAACATTGCTTGGAATGGTGGTAGTATAACTACTTACTCGAAGTTGAATCCAAATTACAAAGTTTATAATGTAAATGCTAGTAATTATGTAAGTCACTTTATGTTTAAGATAGTAGAATTTATAACATACTAGTAGAAGAAGTACCAAATGTTTCAAAATGGAATACATTTAAAATAATTCTTATAGGCAGTGACTGATTATCAGAACTGGATGTATGATCTTGATTCTGCAAATAAGGATATTCATAAAAGACCAACATGGTTTAAATCATATTCCTTTAAAACAGAGTATGGTCTTCCAGATCTGTCAGCTGAATCAATAAACAATTGGCTACATGTAGCAATAAATAATGAAACACTTCTCAACAAGTATTATGTGTAAGATAAAATTATGCAACATATTATTACTACTTCAAGTAATATTAAACTATAATTCGATTAATGTAAAACTTTTAATCATTGTTTGTTGTAGCAATTTTGTCAAGCGAGCTAAGCCTTCATTGCAGAGAGATTGCAATCTAGATTGTAAGAAACAACATCTGTGTCGGGCAATTGTGAGCACTGAAAATATAAATCAACTCTGCAGTAATACTTTAAATGACTATGACATTTCACTAGAAAAATAAATTCAAACAAGTTCAAATAAATTCAAACAGTCAAAATATGATATTTGATCATAAAACATGTTTATTATATGAGTTTCAAGTAATATTTACAAGTCTATTTACAAAAATATTAAACTCTACCTTACACTTCTCAAATCAATCCACTCGAACTTTGAATTACAAAGAATTTGTTGTGATGATATTTTATCTAATATGCTAATCTAAACATAGGAAAAATTAATCAGTCATAAAATTATTTGTACGTTTTTTTATTCTTATAATAAATTCAGTTACCTGTTTCCTCACATAAATTAGAATTTGTTCAACCTGCTCTGGATTGTTACACTCAGAACAAAAAAATATTCTCCAAATTGCTCCAGCTAATACTTTATCATCTGATAAAAGTCCTTCGTCATAATCAAGAAGAGCAGTATTGAATTGTGCTAATAGTTGAAGCACTTGCTTCTTTTTTATTTTTGAACTAATGTGCTGATAAAAAAATTTGTAAGAATTATACAATACTAAAATTGGATCACAATTAAATGTAACTAACACATGATTTATTATTTACTTACACCAAGTTTATTTATTCTACCATCAACATCTTTCCACATGGCTTCTACCAGATTATGTCTAACAAGTTTACCATCCTTTCCTTCACCCATATAACGTACCATTAACATCCAAACATGCAATTCTGTGACCAAAAACCAAGAGAAGAATGTGTCTGGCATTTTAAAAACTAAAAAATCGAACAAAATAATACAATAAAGTTAGAATTTGTCAAGTTAATTAAATTATTTCAATTCAATGAAATATTGATAAACACTATTCATATTATTAATGTGTCATACCTTCATAAAATGCTGAATAGTTGAGTTTGTCAACTATATTCCCATACATGACATAACCTAATGACATTAATCTCTAAAACATGTACAAATCTAATAATCATAAATATGTAAGATATGTCACAAATAGCGATACAAACATGAAAACTAAATTGAGTCTTTAAATAAACAAACACTGATTTTTAGTAGTGTATATAAATAATCCAGTACAGTAAT